ATAGAATGTAATTGTTAATGATTGGATATTAACTTTTAGAGGATGAGAATTTAATTTTAAAATTACAGCTTTTTCTTAAGAGAATAATATGTTATAATTTATTATTTAATCGTGTTTCTTGCCTCAAAATATGTTTCAGCTATTCCAATGGTTTTTTCGTTTTGTAAAAGAAAAAGGGCCAAATTTTCTAACTATAAATTTTTTAATTGAAAATCTAATTAATCTTTGAAATTTATCTATAATGCATGGTTTCTGAATTTAATCCGAGAATTATTATATTTGAGTATAATTGTATTTTTGAAATTGATTTCTTTCTGCATTTTTATTTTGTGTAGATCTTGAATCTTTTGCGCTTACGTTTTATGTAATTAATCAATTACTTCGTAGGAAATCGTTTGACGGAAGCGATGAATCCAGACATATTTCAACACAATCTACATTTGATCACAGTCCGTTTAGAAGATAATCCATGGAGATGCGACTGTATGCAACTCTATGACACCATCGAGTACTTAACGGAACCTCCGCCCAAAACTGTGGGGTCGACTTTGATCTGCCAAAGTCCGGCGAACGTTTCCGGCTATTCGTGGGAAGCCGCATGTTTCAATGAATGGAACACTAACATGTATTATCCTAACGACAGAACTTGGGGAATGGTAATGATCAGCTTGCTCATTCTAGTCGTTTTGTGTGGCAGCGTGATATCGATTAAGCACACCCTGAAGATAAAGAGAAGAGTCCTTGAGCAGAGACGGCAAATGGAATTAGCAGAAGAGAGAGAACGATTACGACGTTTGCAAAGGAGGTAAAGATGCTTTCGGATTACTAATTGTTAAGTTTTCTGTGTGTGTATATGCAAAATACATCTGAAGATATTTCACTTTGCCTCGCTTAAGTAAAATCAATACGCGCGGCATGTCATTAATGAACACACACTGACCTTCATTTCGTAACGTACAATAACCAAAATGAATGTTTGAGTAATTTAATATTCGCGTTATGTTTACAATATTTTTCAACGTAATTAAAATGAATAATTAAAAAAATGTATGCTAGGGAAAGTGGACATACCTACCTACAACAGATAAAACAGATATCTGTCTAGAAGTAGTAGGTTTACATTACAATTTCGCAAGCTGGTACATTATTCATCTCTTTAAAAGTGATATCAGAGAGTGTGTTACCGACGTATAATTATATGTTTTTTATTTAGCAGAATTTTTAATAAATATAAACCGCAAAATTTTTCTAATTATCAATCTTCAAATTAATTAAATGTATTATAGAATAAATGTGTACTACAAGAATTTTTATAATTAATCTTTCAACATTTAAATTACGCTACAGATAATATACCATTCCTAGCTACAATAGCGCGATGAAATTAAACAAAAGCTCTATTTCATCGTACTTTCAGAAATCAGCGTTTGGAGGAAGAAATAGAGGCATTGGAGGCTCCAGAGGAAATCAGAATTAATCCTTTAGAATTAGTCGGTCCACCTAGCTATGAGGAAGCAGTCCAGATGCAAAGACTAGTTCATTCCATGGATGCTTTAAACGAGATTTCCATCGAAAATGGCACTTTGCGTTCCATAAATTCCATGGATAATCTACGGACAAAGAAAAGACGTACAAGGAGACCTCGAAAACGGACTCAGAGCGAAGATGATCTACTGAGACGGGAAGAACGCCGGCAGGAACGAATCAGAAGAGAAAGAAATAATTCCAGTGGTAACATATGTAACGCGGGTCAACTGCATAATACGAATCCTAGAACTTCCTCGGCCCGCAGAGCCAGGAGGCACAGCATTGTGGACGAGACTCTCGAGTCCAGCAGTAGCAAGGACAGGCCAAGGCCGCAGACGCCTACCTCGAAGAAGAGAAAGAGAAGACATGTGCTTAGAAACGAGCATGTGACCGACGATGAAGATTCCGACGTCCAGGTAATGAGTTCGAACCGTTCCATTGTCATCAAGGAACTCAAACGAGAGCCCAAGAGTGGCTACAGAGAATCGTTTATGGAACGCGAGTCTTAAATTATTTCCATTTGTAAATTGTTTCAAAACATATAATAAAACTTTCTTGGTGTTTTAATAAAAATTTAATAAAAATATAAGAAAAAAAGAGCGCAATGTAGATTTTTAATATTCTCTCACCGCGTTTATAAATCGACTCAAAGTACAATTAATATTACATTGTACACTCTGCGGAATATGTGACTTTGTAATTTTAAAACTAATTCTTCTGATACAAAAGTCGTCTTTCTACAATCTAAATCAACGCTAAATCAACAGGGTGGGTACGGATCCATGATAACACATGTCAGTTTGCGCGATAATATTACGGCAGTTTTATCTTGTCAAACCGGTTTTTTCTCTTGTGTTAAATACACATATTGCCTAAGGAAGATTAGTAATCAAGGAAATGACAAATGAGTCGGCTGGCCAATAGTAAAAGGTATACTCCGAAGAAGAGCAAAAGTACAAGCGTCTTCTTGGAACACTGTCTCCTCTATAGAGATTCTAGCTATAATAACGTCAGATTACCGGTTTGAATGTAGCGAAGACACGTCGATCTCGAATTACGGTAATTTCTTGTCAATCTAAAAAGAATTAAGATTATAGTTATGAACTAATCACATTCATCATATTAATATATCATTTACGAAAATAAGAGGCGGTAAACGCCAATATTTATAAATTGTAAATAATTGGATCATTAAATATCTGGTATAAATTCAGTAATATCCCAGTAATCATGACATTGCATAGTAGGCGTTTCACTTGCGCTTTTATCGACTATATTTTGTGTGGATTTGGTTATTTATTAAGAAAGGATATAAAAATATTTAAGACTTGTAAATTTTCATTTAGTTTACACACACGATCTAAATTTATGAACAGATATTAAAGTAATATTTATACGTACATGTGAAGGATATTGACATAAAAAGTGTTACGAAACATATTTTATACTTCTTCATTACTTATACTTCATTTTATGCGAATATTGGTAGTCAACGTGATTTATGTCGCTTTCTTTAGACGCAAAGTGTCATCAAGTAATAATTATGTAACAGATAAATGTATATAAAATCACGCGTAATGTTGGTGACGTGTTCGAGAATATGAGAACAAAGCGAGGCCAAAGATTATCCATGACGCACGATTAAAGTACATGATGGATCAACAAAATAACACTCTCTTTTATTGATCAAAGGCTGAACATATAAATAAAGTCTTCACTGAGCTCCTTACTTTATCGCTAAGTTAAATCTGACGATGTGCGTTATCGTTGGGACAAGTTTCGATCTAACGGGGTTCGCGCTATCTTAAAATTAAATCATATACGCCTTAACAGCATTCGACACATTTTAACTTAAAGAATCGTATGTAAGGAATAATAGTTGATAGTGTGGATAATATGATAACGCATTGCGGCGCATATCACGCCGCGCGGGCGAGCACAGCTACGTGTTCATTTAACTGATAATCACGCAATCATGGAGGATGGAGTGCCGTCACACGCATACACGAAATTTGTCTCTTAATTTGCATCGTATGCAACGAATAAATACATTAATGCACATGAAAATACGAGTCGCTGCCTTTCTGAAACATGTGCCTCTAAGATCGCGAAGAGATCGCGTTCGCTACAAGAGGAGTAACGTGATAACAGGATATTACGTATTTTCTCTCACGTGAATAATAGGTCTATGTTAGCAGTATTGTTCAAACGTTCGCACTCTATAACTTCGTACTAAAGCTGTTCCAAAGGTCATTATTCATAATTGGCAAACTCTTCTCATTGAATTACAAATTCCTCCGTGTCCAAATCGCGTATAAACGTTTCGTACGCTAACAAGTCACTCTAAAAATTACGAGGTACGCGTTGACAAACAATCTGTGATTTGATCGAAAGACGGCGTAAGGCCGACGGTTTTATTAATCTTCGATGGTTCGTGCGTTAAAAAATATGGCAGAACTGGAATGCTCATCGACGCCTGACGTATGGCGAACATTTCGTCGATCCTCGATTAATCTAAGGATCCTCGCGATGCGATCTCGCGCGATAATGAATACCGTTGGATTCTCAATGTCCTTGTTCTGGTGCTCGCAGGACACGCGAGATTCTTTAGGAAGACTGACTAGTGTACTATAGTGTGAACTTCGAACATTGCTCCATTCGCGCTATACTTATTCCTATGCGTATAGCATAAATGCGGATGTCCAAAATATCGCTCGTTTTCATCCAATTAAATTAAGAAAAAATTGCATTGATAAGAATTATAAGCAATAAAAATTGCAAGATTTCGACAATGGATCTTTAAGCAAATATAAATCTTTATTTATTCTTTATTCCTTAATATTAGAAATATCAAGGATCATTTTATTGGCCATTTTTAATATTACAATCTTGTGTAAAAAAAATTTCTGAATTTTCTTGAAATATTTTTCACCATTTTTTATATTTTTACAGTAATTTATTTGCTTGATCCATCTAGTAAATACAAAACTTCTAATGTTAAAAGTAAATAAATTCATTTATTTACTTCGCTCACATGTATGCAAATTTTCAAATTAGAATTCAAAATTGACAATTAGAATTGATAACTTTGCGAGGTTTTCTTATGAATAGTCAAACAGAATGAATGATATGATTATAAATATATAAAAAATAATACGCAATATCTTTCTGAAGGACATCCTCCATAGCATATAGCTTTAGCAAATATAATAACATTTCGTGCGTCCAATTATTTAACGAAACATGGCCTGAGGTTACAATTGTCCCTCAGTCACCTTTCGCACACTTTCAGCTTCCTACCGGAAACAATAGCCATCCCCTAGCCACTGTCGTATATGGTCTTTGACTCGGTAATCTTTCTTTATCACGAAAATCCATCGCGAGGAGTCAAATCGTGTGCAGCCCTAGGAACAACAACGTTATTATAAATCACATCTGTACGTCGCATTCTTTTAAAAAAAAAAACTTTCTCCTTCATTTCCACACATATTTGTCTCTCGATTTCTGTTCGACAGACGAGCACGTTGGTCGGTCGATATAACGTTCGTTATTTCTCGTAGATTCTCTCCCCAGGACGCTGCTTCATGGCGTCTTGACTAGATTCTCACCAGCCATTGTTCGCGTAATGAGTATAGGCGTCTTTGGCACACTGTCGGGAATCTCCTGCAGAGTGATCTTCACTCTTTGGGCCCCTGGACTGAGCGGTGGTCCATTGGGCTCTGGAAAATGCGTCGTCGGTCCATTGATCGTCGCCGAAGTAGAGGGTTGCGGAGTCCTATCCTCCAGGAAATTTTTCTTCAAGGAATTTATATCCACACGAGGTCTCTCCTCTCTCACCTCATCGTCTTGTGAAATTGCATTTTCGTCCTGTGAAAGTTGCTTCCTAGGCGGCTTCGCGGGTTCTGAATGATCAACAGTGCCATTGAGACGCGGCGTTTCTCGCGTTTGATAGTCGTCATCGTGGATCTCATCAATTTTCGCATCGTCACCAGCAGATTTGACTTTCACGAGAGGATCGCTCTCGAGTTCCGTTACGTAGGGTGTGTTCGCCTTCTTCGGTTGAGTCGAATTTTCACCGTGTTCTAAAAGAGATTTCTGTATCTCCTTCATCTCAGTGCCTGTTTCTACATCGCGTGACTTCCTCTTTTTACATATATCGCCTCTGTACGCGGCGAAACCGATCAACGCCACCACTATGGCGAGTAGAACCGCCAGAACGACGTACGAGCCCATGCCTTTCTTGGATTGCTTGGGTGAAGATACTGCTTGTTCATTGTTACCTCTGTCCATCATATTACCAGATTTAGAATCATCGACTACATCAGAAGACGCTATCACTACGTCGTTCGTGTTAAGATTAGGCGGTATGACCTTTGTGGTAGCCTCGGTGGATTTTCCAATACCGGCTTCAACTGAATAGCTTTTGTCAGACACGATTGTTTCCTCAGTGGCCAAATTAGTAGTCGATACGTGTATAAATTCCTCCTCTTCAAGATTTGGCTCTTTAGTCGTCGACGTAGTCACGGAAGTTCCAAATCCAAAAAGCGTATTCAAGAAGCCTGCTCCCGTGGCAAAGAATCCCTCACTAGTATCTACCTTCTCAGTCTCCTCCTCATCGTAATGCGTTCCAGTAGCACCAGATCCTTCGCCGGAACCTTCATCCCCATCGCCAGAACCTGTGGTTGGATAAAACAAGACATCTTTAATGTCCTTCTTTTGCGACATTTCAGTCGTGGATGTTTGTTCCTTCTTATCTTCGTTGTCGAAGAAAATTTCTTCGTCCTCCGTGCTATGTTGTAAAGAATTCATTGTTGTGCCAGTAGTGACCTCCACGGCTATTTTCGAGGTAGAAGATTCTGTCGTGGGATCTATCAGCACGGTCGGGAAAGGCGTTTCAACTTCTGATTCTTTTGGTTTTTCCGATGTGTTGTTTTTATCTTCTATGTCTTCCTCTTCTTCTTCCTCTTCTTCCTCTTCATTAAATGCATCCAACACGTCTCCGGATCCTAAATCCGACTCCCCAGATCCTTCCGCTTGGTCGTTTTGCATTTCCCGATCCTGCTCTTCGAAGCTGCAAATGATCACCGCGCTTGGTTTCATCAGCGACGTGCCCTTCATGTTGCCGGGACCCGCGCACACGACTTTCTTCGACACCGTCACGCCCCTCTGTACGATAAGATCGCGGACTTTGAGGGTGGCACAGTTGCACTCGATCGGATTACCGTGAATGTCTAGATGCTTAAGATTTTTTAGACGCGCCAGTGCAGGTGGCAGTTGTCGGATGACATTCCTCCGCAGGTTTAAACTTCGTAGGTGGATCAGACCCTCCAGGGAAGCTAGATCCAGGTATTCGATGCGATTATCGCCAAGATTGAGAGATTTCAAGTTGTTTAAAGTTCGAAAACTTCCTGGTTCGATCTTCTTCAGGTCGCCATCGGACAGGTCAAGATGCCTAAGGCTAGTCAAATTGTCAAAGAGGCCCGGAATTAAAACGTCTTGTGCTATCGGAGCACTCAAGGTCTCCAGATCATGCGTCTCGACGTCCTTGAGGTCTTTCAGTTGGTTGCACCATGCTGTGGTGCTGTTCTCCAGCCTGCAGAGCCCGTGGATCCATCCTGAATGATACAAAAGGATCAGGAGGAACGACAGCAGAGGCGGTGCTGCCTGCATCTTTCGATCTGATTTATCTGCAACAAAAAATCACATATGGATACATCTCTCAATAATATATGTCATACATGTGTTTGTCAGTTTTTTATACGTGATGAATATTTATAATAAGAATAGCAATAAAATACCTCGCGTACGTAGAAGATGAATGGATTACGTAATTTGCCGTGTCAAGAACAAGCATATCGCGTGGGGCATTCGTAATGATGATTATTAATATTTTCAAATGTTAACTCTGTGCATTGTAGACTCGAAGTGAACGTTACGTACCGAGATGACCAACGCGGTCGACCACCGAAAGGAGGTCAACGCGATGGGTAGTGGACTTTTAAGAGCTAAATTGGACACGCACCGTGTAACTATAAAGATACCAAAGATAAGCAATTATCAGAAAGTACGATACACGGTGTGTCCAATAATGAAGCATTACTCATCGCTTACCGTTTTCCTGTATAACGTATTAACGTTTCGTAATAGCAAGCGAAACGTATTGCTCATTATTGCTATTACGTTGTACTTTGTAATATCCTGTAATCGCATACACGAAAGATCGTAATTTTCACGGTCTATTCAAGCAGACCGTGAAGGAAAGTAATGAAAGTAAAACGTCCCGGCTGGCTTAACACAGCAATAATTATCTAATGCCTGTAATTAGTACACACGCCCAGCCTGACGGTAATTACCACCGTTGTAGCACCTGCAAAACATCCAAGTCAATTCTAGTCGCGCGTGATACATTCGATACATAATTATATCAGCCAAGCTGAAAAGCGATGGTCAAACGCTGATAAACCCGGTGATCTAGGCAATCCTTATCAGCGTATTATCATTGCCTCAGCAATCGTCAATGTGGGGCTGCAGATAAGAGGCAGTACAGTTGATACGATAAAGTAAGAGTTAACTCATGAAAAGGTATTACGATCATTAGAATCTTATTACATGTATTTCTAATAACTGCTATATAACTCGTACATTGTTTGGCACGCAGGTCATTATATATTATATATTATACTATGTATATAATATATAGACAGAGATAATCTATTTATACAATATAATGATGTGCGATTACGCACCCAGATACTTTTCAGTACAGCTCAAATATTTCTACATTTATCAACCAATGCATCTCACGTTATTATATTATAAAAAATTAATTTAATCTTTTAAGTAAACATAGTATTATATTTTATTTGTTGTATAAAATTCATACATTTCGAAATTCAAAAGAACATAACATACGCTTACGAGCACTTTCCAATTTACTGACTATAGCTCAAAAAATTTTCTCCTTCGATCAATATATTGTGCAATAATTATATGCAGGTAAAAAATATGAATGTCAAAGTTCCGCGCATACTAAGATAGCCGTTCTATGATAGCCGTTCTGTAAGTAATTATTTAAAGCGAGGTAGGATCGTCGGGTTGAATGAAGAAAATTTATAGGTCGGATAAACCTCTTTTTCGCCATCAAATATCTCTTTGGACTGCTGTGAGCGGCGTCCTATACATAGAAAGACGCAGGGCGAGCAGTTTCGGCATGTCATTTGCATTATTTTGCATACTGTCCGCGGTGTTGGCATAACGGTGACGTCATTTCCATCTATAAACAGCGGGTAAAAGAAGGAAAGAAAGGCGATGGTTCACGCGCCATGATCGCGCAACGACGTGCATTGAACTTTCATGACCGATCGTAATCACGTTAATTGGTCGGCTGCATACGCAATTCGACTTGGGTGCATTTCTTGCGCGTTAATAAATTTGAGACCGCGGGATTGAAATAAATATCCCTCACTATCAATGAGATAAGACAAATAATGGATTCCATTGTGCTTGTTAATCATATCGATAAGCTGATACCGATTTCTCGATATTACGTAACCAACGGACTGCGCCCGGATTGAAATCGCGCTCTCACCTTTCACGATCAACAGCATAATTAATGAAAGAAATTAGTAAGGCAAATTAGATTAGTATTACCCGGAAATATATATTGTAAAAATATAGTATTATGTAAGGATTAACTTACTAGATAAGCAATAACAAAAAGCCAAATAATAAAATAGAAAGACATTACACATAATTTCGACCTCGAAAAAACTTCTAGGAACATATTATATAAAAATGTTAAGTTTTTCTCTGTTTTTCTCAATTTTTATCGTTTCAAAAGAATAAAAATTCGAAAGAAGACGCGAAATTTCACGCAGACTATTTTTTATGTTAAGGATCGCAAAGTATTATATTTTTTGAATGTAAACTGGATTTTTAACAAGAAATCTAAAGCAGTTTCATAATTTTATCAGAACATTTTCCGGCTTAATTTCTAAATGGACGTAAATCTATGCACCGTGCAATGTAAAATACATTTCACGCGATCTCATGGGTGGAGGCAGGTCATGGCCAATGGGTTCAAGACCTCGGGGGACGATCTGCTATCCCGCGCTTCGGAGATCCACAATTTATGTAACATATATGTGTAATATATATGTGTGTGAGATTTGCAAAGAACTACTTCCTGTCATTCTACGAACGGGCTTTTCGCATGAAAATGATATCTCGTACAAATGTGCCATAGCGCATAATGACGTGAAAGCTTTTTCAAAGCTTAACAAATCTTGGTTCGTTATAGGAAGAGAAGGTCACGTGTTTATATAATCAAAAATAACGATGACAAAGAGTTACATTCTTTGACAAGAGATGTTGTTTAAAGTTACGCATTTACGTTTTGCGAAAGGCACTGATGATGCTAATTGCAAATATAAATATGGTAGCTAATTGCAGAAAGTCGGTCAGTAAAATGATAGATATATCAATTTAATTCTCTACTGCAGCAGTAAAATTTGATTTTACCACTTTTAATTAATACAATAAATCATTATCGTTAAGCAGATACTAATCACAATCGTGATAAGATATTATTATTATGGTATTATTATAACGGAGAAATTAGCCTCGTCTCTACTTGTCATGCGATCGATGGTATCTTAATCGGTCACTTACAACTCGTTTGCTCAGATGTGGTTTGGGCAACACCGTGATCTCGAGGGCATCTGCAACACACACGAAACCAGCGAATAAATTCCCACGTTACATGGTCTTTGATTCAGTGCGATTCAATACCAGAGAGACATTGACATATCGATAAGATCATGATTGTCCGATGAAAGAAATGTTTAATAGAATTTAATAGGAATAAATTACAATGATTGGCACAAACAAATGACGAACTAATTCGTGATGATCAATCAAGATCTCTCTAACGCATGAGCTTCAACGCTTTTTCTTCGCTCTTTCGTTCTTTCCTCCGTTACTTACGCAGCATTTGTCTCTCGAGTGGCGCGTGTAATATCGCATGTTTTATCGCGAGCATGAGTGTTCTCGAATGTGTAAGACATGGAAAGTTGTTTGTGACGATTCTCGCGGTGTAACCGTGTAACCGCAGTATTATTTCGCGAGGAATTTCGCGTGTTCGCATTCCCGTGTATATACCTAGAGATCCTTAAGAGATTGAACACCGTATGTTTGCTCCGTTAAATAGTATTTTGGTATTTTTCAGAACCTGTTTAAAATAAAATGAGATAGATTATGCATAGAATAGAATAAGATATCCATTCTCATCCTATTTTAAGCAGGTTCTGAAAAATATCAAATATGGCGAATCCATCAGAAATTGTTTAAACAGCGTTCAATCTCTTGCTTGAGGATTTCTATGCTTACCTATTCACCTATCTACCATTTGCTCGGCCGAGCGTTAAATCGTTCGTCCCGATTTTCTCCGCGATGGTTACACTTTCGTTCTCGTTTCCTCTCGTTACGCAAGATTCGTCTCGCGGATTTTTCCCATCCTGTTCCCTGTCTATACCACGCCGCGCGCTGCTGACTCACTTTCCGACACAAGAGTTCTAGTCCTTGACTTTCCAGCCCTGGATCGTCGCAGCGTTATTATTAGTAACCACAGTTGTAATTATTATGACAAGTATCTCCCTCCCCCCCTCTATATTATTTCTTTTATGGCCCGCATCTTACTAGGTTTCATAATCGCGCCATTGCAAAATGTCTCGCGTGTGCTAGATTCGGCACGCCGTTTCTCGAGTTGTAAGAGGCAACGTCGATTACGTCGCTCGATGTCGTGACATTACGTACGTTAATGAGGCTTATCGATATCGACGCTAAGTATGATTTCTTCGTTTTAATTGGCTATCTGCGTAGATAATAATACACTACGCGCAATAAATTACGAATAATTAAACTGAAACGACCGAGACTCTTTTTACTAACATAGATTCCGAAGAAGTCTCAATGAAAGACGTAATCGAGACTAGAACTTCTAGTTGCTCACCGAGATCAAGTGAGCTTTGCGATTTCAGAAAATTCAATTATTTAATTACTGAAATATTTATTTATAATTATTTAAAGACTGCAACTTTTTCGAAAGTGTCCAGTACTGAGCGCTTTCTAATAGTCTCAAAAATATTTTACAAAGTCGAATTCACATTTAAAAGACATTTTGCAATAGTAAGTACTTTGTGTACGACCGAGCTCTTGCGCGAATTCAGCAGAAAATTCGGAACGAGTGATGCACTGAGCACGTATGCCTGGTTTGGTCACGCGGTTCGCTTTTTGCCGACTCCGTTCTTAACGGTACCGACACGTCCTCGTGGTCCAGTTCATCACGTGTTTTCAGAGGAGCCCGGCGATTCGAGGAGTCATCCCGGGAGGTCGTACACCTCCGTATGGGAGGAAGTTAAAAGCGGCTGCGGAAACATCGGTTGCTTCACTCCAGCGATTTGTATTTTAATACGTCCGTCTGTTGACTCTGATCACGCGATCCTTATTTATTCTAATTTAGCCTCATTAACTCGTGTAAAAGCACAGCTGCGACATCGATATCCAATTGTATTCTCGTCGATGTTTTCGCGTAGCAATTAATGCATTTCCCGTGAGATTTATCGGAGCTTTGGTTATTAATTAATTTATTAATTTGTTGATGAATTTGCTGTTCAAGAATTAGCTTTAAAAGCGAACCTAATAAGTGTATAATTATAAATAAACAGCGAGTTTTTCCCTTGTCCTTGCATCATATATGTATAAAAATGTGATTAATCATTCGCGTATGAATGGACTATTATTAATGACCTAATATCGTATTGTTGCTGGTAACGAACTCTCTTCTGTGATAAAACCGCATATCGTTTGGAATGATACTCGCGCACAACGGCACTCCATTCTGACCGATCAAAGCGTTTTATACTTCGATGAATTAATCAGTCACCTGTATTTAATTCCATTCTTTAAAAGGGACGAGAGTCGCGAACTTATAAATCATTACATAAATATGTAAAGAAATGACAAGTATCAATCTATCATAATGCGATTTTATTAATGATTTTTCTATCAGTTCTCTCCTGTTTCTTTTTACAATCCATAATACATTCCTGTGTCTGCAGATTAATTTACGAAATCATTCTATTATTATTCACAACCAATGTGCGTAAGTAGCCAGCGTCATCGATCGATTATAAATTGAACTTTGAGCGTGAAGTTGATGGTATATAATTCCGTCCGTTAAAATAAGAACTCATCGAAGATGTTCCAGTTAGGGAAATAGCGATACAATAATTTATTTTTAGATTATGGATTATACACTTTTTTGACTTTGATAAATTTGTATTTTTTTCTAGTAATTTATTATTTTAGCAAGGAAAAATTTTTTAGAAAAATTTGTATGAAGAAAGAAAAATAATTTATTATATAATCTAAAAGTAGAATACGAGTTTGGAGAAAACAATGAGAATGCGAACGTTACTTTAGACAAGAAACAGGGTATTGAAGGCACGAGATACCTACGTTTACGTTTTGAGCACTTCTCAATCTTGTTGACTGCCTAAAACTACATTTAGACTGACCCTCGACAATGCTTGCCAAGAATTTCTAACCGGATTAAATTTGCAGTTTTGTTGATCAATAAACAGTCCAAATTTCGCTGTTAGAAATTTATTTACATCAATAATAAACAAAGAAAAACCAGTTAGCGTAAATTTGTCTTAACACTTGTGATATGTAAACAGGAAGAGTATGGAGCCTTGGTTTAGAAGAAATTGGAAATACCACAAAGAATTCCGTTCAAAACTCTAAAGTCACGCACGATTGGCAATACGTAAGTCATCGGATAGACGGTAGTAACGCGAGCGGTGTAAATGAAATGTTAATTGGTTTCGGAGCACGCGTATGCACATTTCGCAACGTTGTTACCTATTAGCAAATATCTAAAATGTGTTACGTGTTTGGAAACATATTACTCTTCCGGGATTACTTTTTCGCGGCTAACATTACTTTCTACGAGTCTTATTTTTTTGTAAATAATATTTCTTCTTGTCATTATGAATGAAATGAAAAGTCTAAATTACGATGGAAAGTTATCTCATAAATTATTGTTTATTATACTAAAATGTAATTTGTGTTGTTACATGCAATATACGTAATTTCTTCCTCCCACCTCTCTTTATTAACTCTTTCCTCACAAATTGTAAGATTTTAATAAAGACCGCAAAATAGGAAACGAATAACAGATTAAATACTAAAGAAATAACGATTTTGCTGAAATATTTAAAAATTTAGAATACACATTTAAAAATAATTTTGTTATGTCATCAAAGTAATTACATGTATATGAAATTTAAACATGTTGGACAATGCTGCAAAAAAAAAATTGATATTCTAGCAGCTTGAGAACTACATAATTATTTTAATAGTCCAACAAAATTATTTTTAAATTTGTATGCAAATATTGTAAATTTTTTAATATTTAGATTTATATCTAGTTATCTCTTTACAGATACTTTAACAAAAATTTTTTTGCGAAGTAACAAATGGAGACCACACAGTCCGTCTTTCTCTCATAAATAACAGCCAAAGTATCGATATCAGGCATTCATGCGAAAAGATTAGCAAGCCGCAACACGCCAAGAGATCACGCTGGAAGCAAGCGTTAGAATAGGATAGGTCAATCAACCCGAGTAATCGCGAATAACAAGATTCGCGTTGCTAATAAGTCCGTCTAAGACTGCCTATGACCGACTCAATTAGTGCCGACCGATCGATTTGCACGCTAGATGCGAGACATGATTGCTGTCAATTCGCATAAACTTCAAGAAGCGATTGCAAAAGGACGACAGAATTCAGACGACGACGGGGCAATGGCCATCGATGACAGAACTGGATGCTGAAACAGGACTTGAAATTATTGATCTTGAAGCAAGTACACTCTTACATATCGACATTTCTATTTATTCCGCGTTATCTGAGATCCCTCGTCGCGCCTTTCGCCTCTCCCTCTTGAAGAGGGTAATAAACAAGCAGAAATAATATTTGTAGAGACGGAAGCTAAGACTGTCGTTCTTCCAATAATTTAAAGAAAAATATATCTCTCTTCCTCTACCTAATATAAAAATAAAAAACCTTTTTATATTTAAGGCACAAGCGAATCGTTCTAGTTTCCACGACAATTGCTATTCCCTGATCAAAATGTTATCCGATTGCTATGTCGTTTGCTGTAATTTTTCATAGATTATCGACAGTTAGGTTAGGTTAGCAACCATTTTTATCATGTTAACGAAATAAAGACAGTCATGCGAGTGATTCAAGATTAACGTCGTGCGAGGATCACATGTGGCCGTGCCTGAAATAATATCCATTGCCTGCCAATGGAGGCAATTAGGAACAATATCATCGTACTGACATACATTTCGCGACGAGACGGCAGGCACGATCATCGCAGGCGTTGCTCAAAAGCCAATTCAGACGAAACGGCATTTCTAACGTGTTTTCTAACAAGTTGTTATACCAGTCGTTGAATACGCTTCGCTACTAGTTATAAGTCTCCTAACATGGTGTCCTGTCAAACGCCGAGGTCGCAACGCGATGTTCGCTGATTGCAACAAAATTTCTCATTTACTTACAACCTGCGTCAAAAAAATCAATTAAGCATTTAACAAATATTAAATATCAAATTTTAAAGTTCTGAAAGTGGAATTATTGATTTCATCGCATG